GTCCACTTCCAAGTTTTTACACATTCAACATCTGTCTGAAGAAGCGCTACCTTGTTTGTCTGCTTTTGTTTGCTTTTTATTGGTCACCTGTATCATGCCACTACATTGCTGGCCACCTACATGAATCTAGAATAAAACACTAGGTGCTTTGTTTCAAAATAGCAATTTTACTTTATGAGTGAAATTTTTTGGCACTTTTTCCATCTGTCTGAAGAAGCGCTATCTTGTTTGTTTGCTTTTTAATGGACACCCGTATCATGCCAGTACGTTGCTGGCCACCTACATGGATCTAGAATAAAACACTAGGTGCTTTGTTTCAAAATAGCAATTTTACTTTCTGAGTGAAATTATTTGGCACTTTTTTTTTCCCCAGACGTGATGCATTACTAGAAAAAGCCTAGGATCATGCCAATATGCATCCTTCCTCATCCCACACTCATGTGGGAGAAGAGCACTTTCCTTAATTGCCTACAGTGAAACTGAGCATGAATTTATATTGAATTTCCCTTTGTTTTGTGTCAAGAAATAAATGTGAATTGCTAGGCGTATACTCACCAATACAATTCTTTCCATCTGCAGCAAGCTCATACCCTTCATAACACTGACAGACGTAAGAGCCAGGCGTGTTCACACAGATCTGCTCACAGGCATGTTTCTCCACAGCACAAAGATCCTGAGCTACAAAACATAATTCCATTAGTATGATTTTTTTTTCTGACCTTCCATGTTGCATACCTAGACTATGGATTGAAAATAAACTTCAGGAAGTCATAAAAGGTCTTCAGAGATGAGCTCTTTTTAACATGGAATATGTTAGTGTTCTGTCAAATGGTGAAACTTTTATGCCAGGAAGAACAACCACTCAAAGCTTAGGAGTCTGTTCCTTTAGCTAATGGCAATGGTTGTTACTGGGCCCAGAAGATTTGCTTGACTGTATCTTTCCTCCAAAATTTTGAAGGATATTCTTCATTTTTTTAAAATAAATATTTTTATATGTTTTTTTTTATGTTAAAAAAATCCTGAAGAGGAGGATAGAAAAGGAAAGACTAGGAACCCAGAGGACTGAGAGTCTTGGGTATCTTTAATTTTTGAGTTTTATCATGAAAAACACCATCACAAGTCCTCCCTCTCCCCTCCATGCAAACGTCACATCAGAAAAGGGACTATAATAAATGAGGTCAGTCCTAGTGAAGCACATTTGTCTTTCTTTATGATAGACTAAAGCTATTGGAGAACCCCAAGTTTCCCCAGTGAAATCTGTGGAAGGCAGAAGCGTTTGTGTTGCTCAGGATCAGACCCAAAGTGTGCTCAACACATAATTATTGTTTACAGCTACAAAAAAAAGGCTTTTGGGGCAGGTTTGAGGAACCTGGCCAAAGAAATACACATTTTCTTTTATAGCTGTGTGCTTTGTATCAAGTGACATGATGAACAGTATAAACAGTCCTTTAACTCTCTTGTTCCAGTATAAACACCCACAAATAGATAATTTTGCAGCTTGTTCCAGCCACATTTGTTCTTTTGTACTACACTGTGTATTAATGTGTATTAAAACTATCTGGAGAAGGATCTTAGTGATTAAGTTAAACAAACATACAGAGCACAGAACACATGATTACAAAATAGTCTCTGCCTGACAAAAGCCACTTGTCTCTAGAATCAGAGAGCTCTGTTAGACATTAACCTTTTCCAAGATAAAATATGATTTGCAAAACTCATTGAAAGAAACAAATCTAATTGTTGGCCTGTCCAAAATGACAAATTTTGAAATATAAGCATTTACACTCTAAATGCAAGGTCATCTGGGGAAAGTTGCCAGTTGCAAGTGCAGCTTCCCATATGTAAAATAAGCAACAACCTTCAGCTCGGTTCATTTTTTGGTGAAGGGAGCTTTGTACACCACATGTCCACAGAGATTCAAGTATTATTGAAATGTAATTATAAATCCAAATGAATGCAGTTGAAGGCCCCACTTGGGATTCTGACAACTGTCTCTCTGAAGACCTATAGTGACTTATAGACCTATACAAATTTTGTTAAAAAAATGGTGTACACAGATATAAATATGGCATACCTAGTCTGCTATTAATAGGAAGCAAGTTAAAGCAGATAAAATAAATCCTGCTTACTAAGAACATATCTAAACTTCAGTACAGTTTGTTATTACAAACTATAATTAAAGTCAATTACTTAAAACTGAAAGAGTCAGCCCTTTTTAAGGAGGAAATGAGTATAATACATAAGACTTCTGAAATTATTCACTGAAAGGTTGTAAAATCCTTATATTACAGAGGTTAGGAAAATTTTTCAGAGTGGCAAGTTATTTCACAGTTATCTAGTATGGGGTTTGTTGTGCTTTTCTATACCATTTGGTACTGGTTGCTATCTAGACCAGATACTGGAATCGTTAGACCACTGCCTGTCAGAAAATAAAGCAGTGCTTTGTTTGGTTATTATTTCATTCTTGAATGTATTACACCAATAAAATTCAATTTTATCTACTTATAGTGCACTTCTGAATAGAGTCAGGTGTAAAAATTAACTTCATGTGTTTTAGAAAGGCTTATGAGAACTTTATCATTTGCAAAAAAAAAGACATATAACTTTGCTATGATCAGCATTAATTGTATACTGAGCTCAGTCCTCTTTATGAACGCAACTCAAAAGATATGTAATATAAGCACATTTTGGGAGTGTGTGATAGAAAGGAAGTTAAAAGAGATAACATACTGCTGCAAGTCTTCTGGTCAGCATTCAGAATGTATCCTTGTTTACATCTGCAAATGTAGGAGCCAGGGGTGTTTATGCAGAAATGATCACAGTGATGTTCAACTATACTGCACATATGGGGCACTGAAAGAAGAAAGATAAAGTCTATTAACTGCTAGGATTAATTTCTTATGGTCAGAACTAGATAAAAAAAGTTTTAAAAAAATTTACTGTAGTCACTTAGAAACATAAATTAAATTTCAACACTCAAGAAAAAAAATGGAAGCTTAATCCCATAACTGGTTTTGAAAAGACCCCTTACTAAACAGCAATACATATTTGTTTCTAACAGCGGCGTGCACATAGATATTTGGTTGACAGCAGGCACATATTTTTGGGCATGGAATTACGTGTGCAGTGGAGATATATGCAACATAAAATTTTACAATAGAGTATCTGGAGACACTAGTTATTTGGTGGTTCCAAGAACACAACGAAACAAACCTACCACAATTTCAAATTTTGAAAACAAATAGACTTTAAATACAAACTGTTCTAGAGAACATTTAATTTCTTGAATAAAGAAAATAACCCTAAATCAGAATAATAAAGTGTAACGACTAGAGAACATCTCGATGAAGAATCTTGCGTATTTAGTTATTAATGCTGACAGTCATATGAGCAATATATGACTACTATGTATGAGGTAATGTATCTACACGGCTCAGAAAGTGGGAGCCGAGCACTACTATACTACAGAATAAAACTCTTCTGAGTTAATTTTTAATTTCTTTCCATTTTGCTGTAGTAATTTTAATTTCTTTCCATTTGTTGCATGTAGTAAAATGCAACAGAAGAGACTACAGGAAAGGAAAGGATTAGTGGACCAGCTTGGTCATATTCTTTGCTGACTTTCTTTTTTTTTTTCCAGACCAGTATATTAAGAAATTGCCCTGATATTTTCTTTCCACTGGAGCTTCGCTTGTATGTCATTTCTATACTATGTATGTAAATTCCTTCCCAAAGAGCACTGTGTAGAAAAAACATGTATTTTGTTCAATAAAGAGCTAAGGATTGATACCTTCCTTATTGTGCCAGGTTGTCAAACCTCAAAATTTATGGAAAAGATATTCAATAGTCATCTTCTTTTAACAGACACAACAGAAGCCTGATAGATAACTTAACATATGGTATAAGTGGTACTTATCCAAGAAAAAAAAATGTGGTCTTGAAATACTATGTATCCAGTGTTTGGAATGGCCACCAGAGTTATGCATTTATTACTAGTAAACAAACCACCACAATTTCCAATTCTCTCAATCAGCCATTTGGAACCCATCATTTTCTGCCAAACTAAAACTCCCCAGGAACTTCTGATTATGTGAATACAGATCAACTGGAACTTCTTGTCTTTTCCTTTCAGTTTTCTGTTGTTCTGAAAATGAAGTTCATGATCTCTAATAAGTTTTATACCTAAGTTTTCTCCTGGCTGCTTTTCACTAGCTTTCCACATTGGGTACAGTTGATTATAACCAAATGGGCATTTGGGGGATCTTGATAGTTTTAACTTCATTTCTGTTCCTCCCTTTCTGCAACGCGAAATGGGGATGACGCCACTATCACAGGCCAATGATAAAAACTATTTGCTCCTGTCTGCTCCATCCCAACTTCTCTATATTTCCCATCCTCCTTTTATTCAGTCTTCACTACCTTTTCCACATTTATAATTCCCATCTTTTGAGTTCTCATTCCTGGTCTCATTCCGCATGCCTCTGATTTGCCAGGCTACTCTTTGCTCCTCCTTTACCTTGCTGACTGCTATATAAAGAGGGCACTGGGATCTCCTGGCCTCTGCTGCTGTGTCTGACACCACTGAGCCTTTACTAACCAGCAGCAGCAATGGTAGGGGAAGTCTGCTTTAGCAGGGAATGAATCTATTCCAATAGATTCTTTGGGAATTTAGCTGCCAAGCACTGGGGAATCTCTGCCATGCATGGGTAAATAGAGGTTAATTATGTTTACTTTTTACTTTCTTTACTTTTTTGCTTCATCACTTGGCCAGATTTTGCTCCTATCTTAATGGGAACTGCAAAGGCACATTCCCACAGATTTAAAGGCAATCCAGACACAAGGGCAACTGAGGAGCCAAGTTCTTTTTCCAGAGCCTGAAACCTAGCAGACTGGGTCTCAGGAGACTTAACTATAGCAATGCCTTAAGTTGCTTTAGGAAAGAGATCAAGGGGTCTCTATGATCAGCTCAAAAACAGCTGTGTTCCTCTGTGCTCCCACTGGGGAGTACTTTAAAAAACTAATCATATTTCCTGGAAAAAATCTAGGTGTTCTGGGAGGAGGAGCTATAAGATGTTTAGATGCTCGCTTGAAATTCAGTAAGCTGAATGCTGCTTTAGTGCTCAGACTTGACAAAACGTTAACGATCCATTATTTAGTCCTTGAAGCTGAAATCCACAGGATGCCACCAGCTTTTTTTTTTTTTTTAATTTGAACTGGCCCTGGGGTTTTAAGTGCCTTTTTGGATCTCACCTTCAATTCCTGAAACAGCAAAAATTGTGAAGGCATTTTCTGAAGAGTCAGCAACAACCCTTGTCACTTCCACACTCCTCCATCTGGAAGAGGTGATGGCTCTGTTAAGGCTCTTGTGTATTTGGATTAACAGTGAGCTATACAGCTCTAATATGCTTACTGGACACTGTCTATTTGGAGATATAAGCCTGTTATTCAGAGTAAACAGCATTTGTACTGGATTGATTTCTAAAATGCAATTAAAAATCCAATAAAATGAAGTTCTGCAACATTTGCTGTTCATTCCATGTGAACTCTCAATCCACATTTAGTTTACTCCTTTTCTTTTTTCTTTTTTAATGTATCTTACTATGCCAGCTAATAATACAGCAAGGAAGAAACAGGAAAAAATCTATTATCTGATGAATGTCTGTGATGGTATTTTGTGCTGATGCAGTTCAGCTGGAGCCCTGAACTCTTTGAAACAATTCTGGAAAAGACCAAGTAAGGAAAATTCTCCAGACTACTCTGACAATAAGCCCCAGTTCTTTTCTGGCAAAAGCACCCTTAGGACGAGTGAGCATTCAGCCTCACCATGCATTCTTTCTCTGGTCTCTGCTGAAAATGCCTGAGTTTCAAGCCAAAATTGTATGAAAATCTTTCATAATTATCTGAGGAAAAATGAAAATAGAAAATTATATTTAAGACACACACTGGAATAGAGCTTTTCCATTAGTCTAATGAATGAGGTATGCCACAAGATTTTTAAAAGGTAATTTCTTATCAGATAATCACGCATGGAAGAAATTTCTCTCTTGGAGAGTAAAATCTACTACAACTTTATTTACTTTATTGTATGAATGAATAATATCATAGTAAAGGCTGTTTCTAACTTTCTGTTTATAAAATGGAAATAATAAAAAAAAAAGTTACCAAGTCTCTGTGTCTCTGTGTCCACTTCTTCCAGTCACGAGGCACGGTCAGAGATAAGTGTTTATATATAATTATTACTTAAGCTTTGGAAGAGGAATACCATGGACACCATGGGATAGTTTTTTTTAGCCAAAAGACCATAATGTTTATCAGTATCAGTCAGTACTAAGAGAAAACATATTTAAAAGCAAAAGATGAAATAACTTATCTAGTATTTAAGTGGGAAGGGTTGTAATTTTATTGCTGTTATGCAATGAATAGGAAAATCATGATATGTATATTTGTCTCACTGCTTATGACCACTAGGAATTAGATCACATTTTATGGCACTCGGCAATAGAATTAGCTTTTTCCCATATGCATGATTACTGTTCTGAATGTTCCTTGGCTAGTCTCCCTCTCTTCAATGTGTATGTTCTCACAGACTAGCTCCCATGTTAAAAAAAAATCTTAGTGACAGCTAATGATGTTTTGTGTGTTTTATGTTCACCTATGCATTCAAACCTATAGATAAATGCCTTACCACAAAGTTTTGTCTGGAAGACAGAGGTCAGTGTTTCAATCTGACTGAAATTAGCAACCAGAAACACATGCTCTTCATGTGGTTCACTGCCAATGGACTTCAGCGTGTTCATATCCACTTTCCCCACTCCAATGGCAAAAATCAGGATTCCTGAGTTACGAGCTTTAGCAGCAACTTCTCCCACTGGATCCTGGGGTCTCCCATCAGTCACTATCATGATAATTCGGGGCACATTCTGGTTCAGAGGCCGAGCTCCTTCTGACTCTGAAAACGCGATGTTCAAAGCATACTGAATAGCCAGGCCAGTCATGGTGCCAGTTGCCAGGTGCATCATTCTCTTCACTGCTCTCTCTATATCCTGCTTCCTCCTGAACGTCTTCAAGGAGAACTCGTGCTTGACCGTGCTGCCATACTGAATCAGGCCTACTCGCGTGGCATCAGGGCTGATGTCCAGGAACTGCAAGATGGTTAAGATGAACTCCTTCACTTTTTCAAAGTCGTATGGACGGACGCTGCGAGAGCTGTCGATGATGAAGACAAGGTCCAGGCGTTTCTTGTTGCAAGTATTCTCTGGAAGACAAAATGCAAATAAACATACTTTACAGGAATTGTGAAATGCAGTGCAGATCAGGTTGACCTGAAGTCTCAAATGTGTTGTGTAAATGAACACACTCCCAAGCATTGGCAAAATATAGGAAACATAAGAGATGCCAGAATTAAGACTACTTGAGCAAACTGAATTTGGCCTCTGAGGGGACAAGAAGAGTTGCAAGCTACACGACCAGTACACTGTTTTTTTTTTTTTTTTCCCCACAAGCTCAGTGCCCAGAATGGGTAATGCCAAAGGCACAGGCAGATATCTACACCATACCCTGATTGTCAGTTGCTGAGGTTGTGACCTCATGCCTTACATACCCTGCACAGGATGAAAAGCTCCTCTGAATTACCTAGTTATTATTTTAGTGGGCAGGACGGTATGTGTTTCGTTATAGAGCCTGAGAATTTAGAAATCTTAATGAGATAATGTCCTGGTCAGACAAGATGGTGTTAGTCCTCCATTATAAATAGGGAAACAGAACGTGAGAATCTATGGTGAAAAGTATCTGTTAATTGCAGTGACTTATATGCGAAGGGACTGATTTTCAAGGAACTTGGCATTCAGCAGCACTACACATGTACAAAGTACAGCTCTCAATGACGTCAGCTGCAGCTGTGAGGGCTCAGCACTTCTGCAAATCAAACCCCATGATTTCAAACACATAATTAATGGACATCTGGGAAAAGCCTAGTCTATGGGACTACCTCTGCATTAAATAGAAGTTCTGTGGCTTTATTTTGAGAAACAATCCAGTTGTCTGCAGTGGCATTTAATTTGGCCAAAGGATCACTCTTTCTCTCCTGAAATTTTCTGTTTCACTCACTCAACACAATCTGTCTTCTCCACCAGCCACTGAAGCAGAAATACTGCAGAGACGTCCATATCTGACCACTGCACAGACAGCCAGACTGAGCTATCATGGATAAGAACAGAAATCAGGGCAGCCAACTATACTACAAGCCATATGGGACTTTGGGGACATCCCAGCATCCGTTAGGATTTTATAATATCCTGAAGGGTATGTGATGTAAGTATGAGTTGCATGGAGAGAATGCAAATGGACTGCTTGCTGGCTCTTCCTATGCAGATGACTAGCACTTGGTAGGCTTAAACAAGGGGAGGTGAGCCATGGAAACACTTGCCACAGAAGGCAAAAGCGGGAAAAGCTTAAAAGGACCTTGAAGGACTTAAAGGGAGGCTGGAGAAAAGAAATCGGCTGACAGTTACTAGCTAAATTAAAGACCCCTTCAGATTAAAAAAATCCTAATCCATGAAAATGTGATGACTGACTGAATATCCAGAGGATGTTTTTCCTTGTTATTATACTTTTTCCCTGTGCATCCACTTTTACCTGCTGCCAGAAACAGGATACTAGGTTAGACAGACCTATGGCTTCAACCAGTGCATCTGTTCTCATGTTCTTAAATTCTTGTGCCTATGCACCAAACAGTGTGGTAGTTAGTTGTCTGTTTGTCTGCTGGGCTAGAAAGGTTAAAGGTAGCAAGAACATTCATCAAACTGCAAAATCATCTTCACCTTAGGAAGCTGAGAAACCCTTACCCAGTAGACTCCTTTCTACCCAACCCAGTTTAATTGCCCAAGCACTATCAACCATCTTGCACACAGAATGAGGCAGCTGCCCTGTGGAAAAAGCAGTATTTGATCGTGTAATTAAAGGTCATATCATACTGCACAAATACAAGTGGGCCAATTAGAGACTCAATTGGAACAACATCTGTCTGCAGACAGGCCTTTATATGAGTTCACTTGATGAATGCTAACCATGTATTTCTGCCAGTGAGAGGGCTGAGAAAGATGCCTATTTTCGCTTGTTAACTCAGAGGCCTCTTTCATAGATTACCAAGAACCTTTGTGGGCATAGAATAAAAATGCTCTTTGATGACAATAAAATGACTGCCTGGATTTATTCATGTGCACTCTACAGCATGGCTTTATTCATAAGCATAGGAATATGCTTGAGTTGCTTATTCTTTCCAAAGCAGAGGATGCTGAATGCAAGCCAGACAGAGCAGAAACAATAATCCAGTTCTAATAGGATGCAGATATCCTGGTCTATTGACTATTTTCCATCATCTTACTTTATTGGTTTGTATATATGATTATTACTTACTTTTAATAATATAAGATGAAGAACTACAGCATAGTTATAATAGAGATAACACTGAGATATGATTTATGTCAGCAAGGCAAATGTAAAGAAAAATAATTATGGAAAAATGTCTGAGAATGTATGTTTGTGTTCAAGGAAAAGACAGTGGAGGGAGAAGTGTAAAATAGTAGGTATTTTATTTCCTGTAAAAAAAGAAAAGCACAAGTCTAAACTAGAGTCTTATTGAACACTTTTGACAGGGTGGATTTTGTAATGATATTGTAATTATTAATGTTGACTTCGTTCAGCCAGGTTTAGTGAAAAATAAAGTATTACTGTTATTTATTAAGAAAAACTCCAACTGGGTAGTATTTGGAGGAGTGATAATCAGTACTGAGTAACAGATATGAACATTCATATAAACTTCCGGTGATTTTCTTTAGCAGTTCCATGGTTTTGCACTTGCCCTGGATACTAAGACATCTTCTTACCAGTTTGTACATTTTAACAACAAACTTTCTCACAACTTTGGCAAACATCCTCAAGTTCAAAAGCAATTCCCTTCCATGGTTTCTACGAAAAGTCATACATTACTAGGATCTGGAAATTCGAATGGCTTGTTAAACCATAAATCTACTTCTAAGTCAGCATAGGTATAAAAGAAAAAATCAGTACATGATTTACATTAACCAAAGCCATGACAGGAAAGGTAAGGCAAGGCAAAGCAAGAAAGGATTAATGCTTTATTCAAGATTTTCTCCTCCTTCAACATCCAGTTTTTCTATAAGTCACAGCTACCTTGATGCCAGCTTCACAAGCATACAATATAAGGAGACTTTAGATCTCCCTGGGAGGATCCAATTACAGATATATATGTAGCTTTAAAGCTTTAAAGAATATTGAGCCTCTTAATTTCCTCTGAAACTGAAAAACCTACTTTTATTTTCCCTGCTCCCCACAGGTTCCTTCTGGCTTTGCTCAAGCACTATTTGACTCTGCACATCTTGTATCAAAATATAAAAGCAAGCACAACTGTCTTGAAGATCTGAGACTGTGTCCATTCCCTCTCACCTTATTTGTAGTTTTTAGCAATCTACGCTGCCTTAATATGCTACAGAGCATCTTCCTTTCATGCTGTTTATATTCAAAAGCAACTAGTAATTATAAAGATATTTTAGTGGTAACTGAAGCAGTGCCAGGGAATTTTCCTGGACATTAGAATTTAATCATCAGTGCTATGAAATCACTAGAACAGCCCCTGGTATTGTTTGGCCCAGCACAACTATCACTTTCTCAAATAGTACTGTGAAGACCCATGAACAAGGGACTCAACCCAACAGACTATGCGGATGTAACCACTCTGGAAACTAAGGGTATTTAATAGTAGAGAAGCAGAACATTTTATACCATTGATCTCAGTGCCAGGAAGCAGGCCAAGATATAGACTAAGCTCATAGGCCAGCTGGCCTGTATCCACCGTATTAAACCCAACTTTCTGCTAAAATAGAGTGGCTGTATGTGAACTGCCTATCAGGAATAATCCCTGGCCCACTGTAGCTCCTGAATCATGCCTGGGGATTGCCTGGAGATGGCCCATCACTGTGGGCCAAAAATAGCTCTGGCACTTCAGCAGTAACAATAATGATGAAGTTCAAGTGCCCCAAAATGTCTCCTGGCACTGTTTAATTTAATCAGTATAGACACATCCTCAAACATTTCCATTTTGGGCTATTCGAACTGAACACACTGAAAAGGCCCAAGTTTTAGATGTTGATTTCTTAAAAGTTGTTGCAAGCCAGAATCCTCCAAAAAGTCTGCTGCTTAGCACTTCAAAAGGGGTTATTTATGTTTTGTTATTGTCATAGAACTTTATGCGTCCTTAAAGCATTTTGTAATGTGTATATTATTTCTTTGATTACTTTCCTAATAAATGAGAATAAATAATTGTTAAAGAAAGCAATTGCATACAAAGCAAAATGAGTTCAGTTAGCTCAGTTTGGTTAATACTATAGTAATGTTAAGATATTTAGACACTGAAAAAGCCATTTATAACAAGTATATACTAGTTTCACAAAGATTTTTATTATACCAAAAGATGATTTAAGAAAGCATAAAGGATGAGATCAGTTAAGAAAAAATGAGATCATAGAAAATTTTTTGTCTGAACTGCAAATACAATAATGACAATTTTAAGACTCAAAATATTGTGTATCTTAGCTCACTCCACATTACTGTAGATACAAAACTAAATGCCCTATGACATTGCCAGCAATAACACCAAGTTTATTTTTGCATTTTATCTTTGTAACAGAACAAAAGCCTTCACTCTGAATTAAGCAGAGGAAAAAAATACTTTCTCAGCTAGGACATTATAAAACTTAAAACTTCTAAATTTTCTCTTCTTTCTTTGCCATTTTCTTATTTCATTTTTTTCCTCTAGTCCTCAATATTTCTTCTTGTTTCTCTCTTTTCTTTTTTTTTTTACATTTTATTTGTTTAGAAATCTTGGTATAAATCAAACAAAACTTGTTTCAAAAAATGGCTGGGCACCAAATATTTATCCTTAAAGTCTAGAATGTTGGTTTCCCTTTACTAAGCATCCAGTCTTAATGCTGATTGGGTTTGACTGGTTCTCAGATATGTCCACAAAGACTTCTTCATTCATCAAAAAAGGGCTTAATCTTCTTGCAATATGATCATACAAGAAAAGACAACCCGGATTTGCTTTTCATTCATAGATATACTAAGAACAGAACACTCTGATGGGAAGAAAGATGCATGGATGCATTACCTAGATGCATCTTCTAGGAACCTCCAGTAGATTCATTTGCAAAGAGCAGAAATGAGGTATGGGGCAGTTAT